TCATTTGTGCTAAATGTCCATAGCACTGATGAATAATTAAGTCCAATGAAAGCAGGTTTTTCAGCTGCTGTACATAATATGTGCCCCCCCCAAAATATCTAAATGTTTATTGGGATATATTATATATATATATATATATATATATATATATATACTGTACTAATTGATTTTTGATTTTGCATGAAGTTTTCCCAGCTCTTTTCCAGAGAGTAGATGATACCTAAATTCACAACTCACACACCTATATATATATATATATATATATATATATATATACTGTACTAATATAATTTTGATTTTGCATGAAGTTTTCCCAGCTCTTTTCCAGAGAGTAGATGATACCTAAATTCACATTCTCACACTCACACACTCACATTTCTTCCTTTTCCTACCCATTTCTCTGTCCATACTTAGGTTGTTTATGGAGATTCTGAACAGCTGTTTAGATTGTGATGAAATCCAGTTCAAAGAAGACGGTAGCTGGGCCCCCATGAGGTCGAAAAAGGAAGTGCAAGAGGTGTCGGCTTCATACAATGGCATTGATGGTCAGTCCCAGTTACTGCAGATTATTTCCTCATATTGTTGAGGAACTGTTGCAGGAGGCGTTTTGGGTGCATTCTTGAAAATTGAGAATTGGTCTAAGACATCTTAAAACCTCTAATACAGTGCTGGTAATTTTGCACAGCATTGTATTTTTATTAAAAAAAAGTAAAAAAAACAAAAAAAAATCAGCAAACCTTTCTTGTAAAGCCATACTTGACACAATAATTGACAGGCTACCTCTGAATATACACAACAGTACAAAAGGTTTGTTTTGTTTTTTCTGTGAAAGAAATTAATGCTTTTATTCAGCAAGAATGAAACAAACTGATCAAAAGTGACAGTACTGTTACATTGTTACATAAAAAAATCCAAATAAAAAATAAAATCTTTTCAAATAAATGTTTTATCTGTCTCCAAACCTACATCTGTGTGTGTGTGAGTTTACCTGGATTTTTCTATGTGGGATGTCTGTGTGTGTGTGTGTGTGTGTGTGTGTGTGTTAATTCTTTCATGATTGTCTGTGCTTTTGCTTGTGTTGCGCAGCTGGGAAAGATGCGGCTAATGATTCCATGTCGGGCATTCACGTGTTCACACCTGCAGTGTTTTGATGCTACGCTTTACATCCAGATGAATGAAAAGAAGCCCACATGGGTGTGTCCTGTAAAAAAAAAATCAGCAAACCTTTCTTGTAAAGCCATACTTGACACAATAATTGACAGGCTACCTCTGAATATACACAACAGTACAAAAGGTTTGTTTTGTTTTTTCTGTGAAAGAAATTAATGCTTTTATTCAGCAAGAATGAAACAAACTGATCAAAAGTGACAGTACTGTTACATTGTTACATAAAAAAATCCAAATAAAAAATAAAATCTTTTCAAATAAATGTTGTTCTTTTGAACTTTCTGTTCATCAATGAATCCTGAAAAAAAAAAAAGTTTATTAACCTATGAAGCAGCTTTCATAGCATCTTTTCATTTTAATAATAAGAAATGTTGCTTGAGTGGCAAACAATGAATGTGACATTAACCTTCCCCTGAGAAATGCCATCACACGTTGCCATGCACATGCTTATATAAACCGAACATACACCCTGAAATTATTTGGTTTACAATCTGCTGTGTATGTTTGTATGCATAATCAGGTGGATGTCGTACGACAGTGTTGGAGCAGAGCTCTCAAACAAATGGCAACAGTGGAGGAAACAGCAAAAAAGTGGAGGTGATTGATTTGACTCTTGACAGCTCGTCTGAGGAAGAGGAAGATGAAGAACCCCCTCAGAAGAAAAGCTGCCCCTCGCTATCTAGCATCTCTCCTCAGATGGATAATGGGTACATTTCAGTAGAAACAATTTTTTCAAACAAATTATTTTCAGCTTCTTAAATATGCACAAGTAACTTTCTATGTGTGGGTTTTGCAGAAATGTTTTACTCAAGCTAGCTTGTTTGTTGGCACATTCATAGGGTACTAAATCTCCACAGACAAGCATCTCCTGTGAGTCGGACTCCCAGCATGCCTCAGGTGGATACCAGTTACATTCCCCCACCTCCTCCCCTCATTCAGGATTACCGCCACTACTACTCTACGCCCGGTGACCTGTCAGGTACAGCACCCAAACATCTTTAGGAACCTGTTTAATGTGTAAAATTTGCCTGTTTAAGCTTCAATGTTTGTGTTGATTTGTCTCCGTTACCGCTTACAGATCTCAGCTTTTTTCCTTTTTTACAAGGAGAGAATCATCAGGTAACACAACCCAAACGTTTCTTGGCCCACTGTAATTGACTGTTAACTTGATATAGCTACTTTAGCGACCATCTTCTCTTTGCCTGACTTTTTTCATGCTGTCTCTCCAGCACTACAACATGGTGATGGCAGCAGCTGCATCAGCATCTGAAGATCACGACCTCCTCCTGAGTCGTTTTCTCCCATACGGCTCGTCTCAGCTCTTCCTGGACCCTCCCTCGACCCCTGTAAGTAACAGCCTCCCTCCCATTAACGTCAACGGCAGCAGCACCGGCAGCAGCCTGGTGTCCTCCAGCAGCCTGCGGGAAAGTCTCGGACATCCACCCGCCCCCCGTCCCACCTCCGAATCAGCCCCCACGTCTGCCATCTACGGTCCCATCCCAGACGTCATCTCGTTAGACTGACCCAGGACCGAACCCTCGCACAGGAAACTGACTGAAGAGACTTCCAAACATTGGGAAGAATAGGGGACATACAAGATGACTGAAGGGTGTTTTTGTAAACGATGATAATCGTTGCTGTGTACAGAGAACAAATATATTTTTTGTTTTACTTTTGTATATACCTATCTATCTAGCTATCTAATGTATATGTAAACTTGAAAGAGTTTTTTCCCCCCTGGCTTGCTAAAATTACTTTGGGTTTTATCTCCTGGGACACTGAGGCTCTTTTTCCTTCACAGCTTTGTCTCAACCCCTTTAACATAATATGAACACTTTTTATATCCTTTACCCATCATATTCTGTAGTCGTCTATATTTTGTCTGATTCCATAGGGCACAATGGCTGCGTTCAGACTGTCAGTAGGACTCTTGGTTCTTTTCTCTTCCCAGCAAAACTTTTTTTTTGTCTTTGCCAGTCCATACCATATCCCCTAAACATGCAGGACTGTTTTATATAATGCCTTTAAGGGATAGTTCACCCAAAAATGAAAATTCTGTCATCATTTACACACCCTCATATCGGTCCAAATATGTATGATTTTCTTTCCTTTGTGGAATACAAAAAAAAAATGTTAGTGTATTTTTTCTTTTTCTTTCTTTCTTTCTTTCTTTTTCTATCTTTCTTTTTTTGTTGCACAGATGAAATTTGGCACATGAGAGTAAATGATGACTAAATCTTTATTTTTTGATGAACTCTCCCTTTATTTAAATGGGCTGTTACAGTTTTTCTCAAATGCTAAAACACATTTCACGCTTTCATTTGAGAATATGAGCAGAGTTCTTTTGCAACTTGTGTTTTAGCAAAGAAAAATGTGTTAAGATTTATGAGAACGGAGGATTGTGTTTTGTGAATTGTGTCTTCATGTGAAATGTGTTTATGATATTGGAAAATGATGGCTAGATTTAGTAAATGTGTTTAGACAACTGGTCATTTGGTTTAGAGGATTGGCTTTTGTGTTTTAGCATTTGAGAAAAACTGTAAGAAGCATTCCTTCACATTCAGGTTAACAACTGGAAGTAATAGCATTGCTACAGATTGCCAATATCTGACCTCATGATTCTTAAGTGAAATGTAAATCACGACTGTTTAAAAAAAAAAGTAATTCTCTAACAATTTTGCATCCATTTTTTTCTTGCTCAATGCCAAAAGAACACTGTTTAGTGTTGAAGTTTCTAGAGTGAGAGCTTGCGAGTTCAGTGAACTTAAATGTACACCTTTCTCTTTTTTTGTGGCTACCATGCTTGATTTGTTCATTAATTTTTTCCTTCCGTCCCTCTCTTCTTGAATTGTTCTGTTGGGAGGTTCAACAGTGGCGCAGATGATGAGGTTACGATGTCCTTGGTGTTGGCATGTAATTGCTCATAGATGTTTGTTTGACTGAGGTCTCTATTCAGTTGATGTCTCTTAGGTCATCTGTGTTTGGTACTGTGCAGGAAACCTAAAGCCACTCGTAATTTCTTCTGTTTTGTCACGTGTGCCTTGTGTGAGTGTGTTTTGCGTGTGAAAGAGTGGACCTGTTATTTCTTGTACTTCAGTTAGCCTATATTAAGCTGCTCTTCACGCTGACCATCAGTCACAGAAACACTTGGTGTTTCTAAACAAACAATCCTATTGAGAAAAGATTTGGATGTTCTTTCAAGTGCTACTTGGGATTAACACAGGATATTAATTGCAAAAGTTTTTTGTTCAAACTAAATGTAAGAAAATTAGAACAGAAGATTGGAAAAAAATAGTGTTCAAAAAGAAAATGTGTTGGAAAATGGAAATTGTTTATTTAGGAAGTGTTTTATTTATTTATTTATTTATTTTTGTAAATGAATGAAACAGGCTATCTGAGTGTGTGTGAGTTTGCTGGTGTGGCTCTCTCAGTGTGTTGACCAGACCTTTCAAAGCCTAATTGGGTTTGGGACTGGGGTAATTGCATGTGACAGGATCTAGCTTTCGCGTTTTGTGTTGTTTGATAGACTGATGAGTCTCACTCTGTTTCCTTTGACCTCTAAACCTCCTTTTAACCTACATTTCTTATGAAAGTATTAGATGTTTATCAATTGATTTGTTTCTTGGATCTAAGATTGGTTTGAAATGTAATTGGTTAAGTAATTAATGAGATCAAAATGATGGAGACAAAAATACATATTCGGTTATTGCAAAATCCTTAATACCAAATTGAGTACTTGTTAGATCTCTAGCAGTGTTAATGATTGACTCTTTATTTTAACAAGTAAATCTGGGCAGTTCTTGTCCTTTGATTCAGTGTGTCTGTCTCATGCGTTATGTATTTGTTACCTGGGATATACAAGCAAGGTTCAATGAAAAACACAATACAAGTTTTTATTAATTTGTTGATTTTTGTTTATGATTGATAAAGGGATAAGTTGTGTGAGTTTGAATGTGTGTATGAAAGCGTGTGCATGTTTTTGTTCTTGATGTAAGGCAAACATTGTGCAAACTTGGATGTTCCAGTGATGTGCATTTATGTGTTAAAGTTGGATCCGCAACTTCACAACAAACTAATTTATATATTTTAGATGCAGAGCTGTGTTATGAGTGGACTCGGTGTCAAAGTCCAGGTTTATTTTATTTTCCATTTCAGTAAGCTGACATCTCTGCTCACTGCCTTAAATTTCATCCACTCTGTGTCTCTGTGGCATGTTTTATGGAAAGAAGAAAAAAAAGAAGATTTTTAAGATGTGGAAGACATACTGTACAGTAGACCAATGTCAGTTTGTATAAAGTACTAAGTGGAAAAAAATATTTATTACATGCATTGAAAGAAATTGTTTACTTATTGAATGTTACGTTTATGTAGAGACATTTAGATGTAATAAAATATATTGAGTTAACTTTGACTTTTGTCTTGAAGAAAAAACCAAGCTGATGTGTATACGGTTTTAGAATTCTTATAGAACATTTTAAGAATTTGGACTTTACACTCCTTCACATTTGTGCTGAATAGCTCAGCTATTTTACCTTGCTTTAACTCGCACTGTAAGATGGACATAACCCATTTGAGGTGAATGGATTGAATTTTCAATTCACACAGGCCTTACAGAGATTTAAAGGGGTCATATGATGTTGCTAAAAAGAACATTATTTGGTGTAATGAAATGTGTTTATGCGGTTTAAGGTTCAAAAAACACATTATTTTCCACATACTGTACGTTATTGTTTCTCCTCTATACCCCGCCTTTAGCCAAGCTCATCAGTCTGAAAAGCGAGGTGTGCTCTGATTGGCCAGCTATCCAGTGTGTTGTGATTGGCCGGATACCTCAAGCGTGTGACAGAAATGTTACGCCTCTTATCATACTGTGATGCCTTCTCCCGGCACGACCAGACAAAACCAATAAAACCCATTACAAACGAGGCATTCGTTGCATCCCGTGGGGACATAATTACAGATTATAATGACTTATACTGTCTTTTTACGCGTTG